AAAAAAAAAAAAAAAAACAGAAGACATACAGATCCCAACGTGTATTCCAGAGGGATAAGTGTTGTATTTGACCGGAGCGTAGAAAGTTATCACAAGACAAAAGTATGCCAGGTTGCAGGGTCATTTATTATGCCGGCGACCACAGAGGACTCACGTCTCTCCAACCTGTGGTGGCAAAAGGAGGGTGCCATGATTTTTTATACCCGAAAAACCACCTTGGGAGTGGGGGTGAGGGGCAGGGATGGGGATGATAAGGTCTCCGGACATTCCAAGGGCTAGGGGAGTCTGTGATTCACCTCCTGGGTGGAGACAAGGGCGGGGGTCTCCGGAAATTCCAAGGTCTAGGGGACTTTTGTCATTCTGTTTGTTACCTCAGTGGTTTACAGAAGTCAGGATATACATTTGTTTACACATCGTCTGGGTGGTGATAGAAGTCACAGATTTTAGCAGTTACTGATAAGAAAAGGTAAGCAGCTTTACATAGTTTTGAGGAACAAACTGGTAGCTCTACTTACAGAGGCCAAGGACAGTAGTTATTGTAAGGAGAATGGGGCAGCCATTTCAACTTATCTAAAAACAGTTTTGCATTTTATAAAATAGTTTTGCTCCGGTTCTGGCTCTAGGCGAGCACAATATCACATAAGGTCCCAACATCAACCCTCGCCAGCACAGAACCAAAGGACTAGCGCTCTTCACGATGGAGGTGAGTGGTCATAACACCTGCAAGTCACATCTGCAAGTCCCAACCCACAAGTGACAGACAGCCTCTTCACCCGTCCTTCTCTGTGTGCCAGGGCCCACCCTGCGGGCCTCCCATGCCTCCTCAAGACCAGGGTCGTGTCGCCCCTAACCCCGCCGGCAGGCGGTCAGGCCCCGCCCCTTTACATAATCGGGCCAGCCCCTGGTGACAGGCCGCGTCCCAAGTCCCTCGGCACGGCTCCCGGCCCCTTTCCTGTCCCACTTTCTCACACGGAGTCACGCAACACCACATCGCCACAACGCACGCGCACATCCACTCCGGGACACGTCTATCCCCCATCACCCACTTTAGGCCAAACCTGCAGGACAAGTTCCAGTTTGCAAACCAACGGGCCGGGCGCCTCTTCGGGGACCGGGAGCGTTCGTCGGCGCCAGCGCAGCCACAGCCAATCCGCAGCAGGAAAGTCCGGTCGGGGCGGAAGCAGCTTCAGGCGCGCGGGTCGCCGGGAGATTTAGTTCTGGTTGCCCGGGGCGGACCACGGAAAGGGTCTGAGGGGCTGGGCCCAACCCCTTAAAGGAATTCCAATCCCCGCGTCTCCGAGGAGCTAGTGCACTCTCCAGAGGTGGGCTGTTTGAGGCTGGGACTGGCAATGAATGCCGCAGCCCCTTTGGGAGCCAAGAAAGCGGTAGACCTGCCTCCAGGTCGCTGAGAATTCTGGCTCTGCCAAGAGTGCTTTCCATACCCTGGCGGAGTGGCGTCGGCGTTCAAGGCGCCTTTCCCCTTAGCAATGCAGTGTGCCTCAGCCCAGGGCCCTACCCTTGAGGAAACCGCACGTTCTGGATTCTGCATGGGCCAACGTTGGCCCAGAGACGTGAGGGAATTTGAGGCAACATTCCCAGCCGGCCTGCTGTCTCCTCATGTTCTGCTCTCTGCCTTGTTCAGTGAGAGTTTACCGGAAGAGGTAACTATTCCCGAATGAGAGTCTGCTATCAGTCTAGCACAAAACTCTGAAAATACCTCCTTCCTGGCCTGGATCTTCAGTGGGAGCTGCGCTCTTGAGGGCAGAACGGCGGCCGCGGCAGACACAAAGACCTGAAGATAGCCTTTTCTGTCCAAAGATGGAAAACAGCACTACTACCATTTCTCGGGAGGAACTTGAAGAACTACAAGAAGCATTTAATAAAATAGATATTGATAATAGTGGGTATGTCAGTGACTATGAACTTCAAGACCTGTTTAAGGAAGCAAGCCTTCTTCTGCCTGGCTACAAGGTGCGAGAGATTGTGGAGAAAATTCTATCAGTTGCTGACAGCAACAAAGATGGCAAAATCAGTTTTGAAGAGTTTGTGTCACTAATGCAAGAATTAAAAAGGAAAGATATCAGCAAAACATTCCAAAAGATAATTAACAAGATGGAAGGGATTACTGCTATTGGAGGAACTTCATCTTTTCCCAGTGTGGGCACACAGCATTCATATTCAGAGGAAGAAAAAATGGCTTTTGTTAACTGAATAAACAAAGCCCTGGTGAATGACCCTGACTGTAAGCATCTTATACCCATGAATCCCAATGATGATAGTCTTTTCAAGTCACTTGCAGATGACATCCTTCTTTGCAAAATGATCAACTTATCTGAACCAGATACAATTGATGAAAGAGCCATCAATAAGAAAAAGCTCACGCCTTTCACCATTTCTGAAAATTTAAACCTAGCTCTGAATTCTGCCTCGGCCGTTGGTTGTACAGTTGTCAACATCAGTGATCAGATCTCAAAGAAGGGAAACCTCACTTGGTCTTGGGACTTCTCTGGCAGATCATCAAAGTTGGCCTTTTTGCTGATATTGAGATTTCTAGGAATGAAGCTCTGATTGCATTGCTGAATGAAGGTGAGGAACTAGAGGAGCTGATGAACCTTTCTCCCGAGGAATTGCTGCTGCAATGGGTGAACTACCATCTGACCAATGCAGAATGGCATACCATTAGCAACTTCAGCCAAGACATTAAGGATTCGAGAGCCTATTTTCATCGCCTAATCAGATTGCCCCTAAAGGTGGGGAAGATGGACCTGCCATTGCCATTGACCTTTCAGGAATTAATGAGAAAAATGACCTGAAGCGTGCTGGACTCATGCTTCAAGAGGCAGATAAAATGGGCTGCAAGCAGTTTGTTACTCCTGCAGATGTGGTTTCAGGCAATCTTAAGCTTAATTTGGCTTTTGTGGCTAATCTGTTTAACACATACCCATGCCTGCACAAGCCGAATAATAATGACATCAATATGAATTTACTGGAAGGAGAGAGCAAGGAAGAGAGGACATTTCGGAACTGGATGAATTCCTTGGGAGTCAACCCATACGTTAATCATTTGTACAGTGACCTTGCAGATGCTTTAGTGAACTTTCAGCTCTATGAGATGATATGAGTGCCAGTCAACTGGAGCCATGTCAATAAACCTTATCCTGCCCTTGGAGGGAACATGAAGAAGATTGATAACTGTAACTATGCAGTGGAACTTGGGAAGAACAAGGCCAAATTCTCCTTGGTTGGCATTGCTGGGCAGGACCTAAATGAAGGGAATTCGACACTTACCCTGCATTGGTATGGCAGCTGATGAGAAGGTACACATTGAATGTGTTATCGGATCTTGGAGAGGGTGAAAAAGTAAATAATGAAATTATTATTAAATGGGTCAATCAGACTCTTAAAAGTGCAAACAAAAATACTTCTATTTCCAGCTTCAAGGATAAATCTATAAGCACAAGTTTACCTGTCCTAGATTTAATAGATGCCATTGCACCAAATGCAATTCGTCAAGAAATGATCAAGAGAGAAAACTTATCTGATGAGGACAAGCTGAACAATGCTAAATATGCCATTTCGGTTGCTCGAAAGATCAGTGCCTGGATATATGCATTACCTGATGACCTTATAGAAGTGAAACCAAAGATGGTTATGACGGTGTTTGCATGCTTAATGGGAAAAGGACTGAACAGAATAAAAAATCATTTCACATGATTTTCTGCCATATTAAACATATTCTATGCCTCACAGTTTACAGAATTCTAAAATGTAGTGGGTATAAAACCAGAGATTATTTGTATGCTCAAAATAGTTATATATTCATTAATGAATTCAATATCCTGTTCATACTAGTTAGAGCTGGTCAGCCTTTTTGGATCACAGTTAATTTACCAGCTGATACAGATAATAGAATATATTCATAATCAAGCTGCTACTTCATGATTAAATTATTTTGTTGCTTAAAAGTCTTATTAAGACAAGACATTCATTCTTTTTTATAGTTCAAAAAAGATGAATACAAAAGTGTTTGCAGGTTCTGTTGTGAAATGTGTTTTGATTTTTGTGTGTGTCAATTTTGATCATAAATGTATTCATACTCATAATCCAGTTTTATTTGCTTCCTCCAACTGTTTAAAGTGGTCCAAAAACACTTTTCTGTAGGTTTCTATACTGTCTAAAACTTTATGGTGACAAGTATTGTTTATTAATATCAAACTTTTTTATATATGAGAACTAATTCTTGAATAAATCCCAAAGTTTACTCTCTTGTTAAGTAGCAGCAGCTTTTTACTTTAAACTTAATTTTAGCTGCATTGATACCTTACATATCCTAGTTTGTTAATACTAGTATTGATCGACTTACCACCTATGTAACTTATGACCATTCGACTTTACGACCACAATCGCTAGCCACGACTGCTCCACATCTGGCAGTGCAAACCTTGCCTAGCTGGGCGTACGACAGTGCGGACCAGCTTCTGGCAGCACTACCATCTCCGCGTGTACCATTTCAACTGCACATATAGCCTACTCAACTTACGACCAAATTGTGTTATGACCGGTCCGCGGTCCCGACCGTGGTCGTAAGTTGAGCACTAGCTGTACAGCTTTAACTATGACATGTAACATATATATGTTGGTAGGATGTTACTAGAGATATATGTGTACATATCTATTTTTTCTTTTTTTGCACCTAAATCACCCAGCTTTTCATCAGTAGTATGTATAATTAATTGGTCATTCAGCCAACCATCAGTATTTTTCCCCTGCAAACATGTGTAACACTTTTCAGTTTGTGGATATCTGATACATTAAGATTTCTTTTTATAAGTATTCATTTTGCATGTGCATGTAGTTATTTGACTCCTTCCAAATACTTGTAGCCAAACATTGGCTAGAACATCCCAAGATATGTTGACACTATCCTGTTAGCTTCATATTATACTTGCTAATTTAGGTCTCTATAGATGCCCTATATAATTTAGAATATGCCCACTAAATATCTTTAATAGAAAGTAACATAAAGCTAATATTCACTGTAGAGTATTTTCATGTTTTTTTTTCATAGCCCATTACAAATTGGCAATGTTTGGTTAATGTTTGTGTTACTTGGAAGTAGCTACAGCTTGGACCTATTTGTTTTTTTTCCTAAAATTTTAGCATTAGTCCATTTCTGCTGCTAACAATTGAATCAGAAATCTACTTCCTCCATCTTCCACTGTTAGTGCCAGTGAGCAACACTGTTGTGCAACAAAAATGTCACTTTATGTCAGTGTGAATGAGTAGTCTAAATTCCCCTACTACCATTGATTTAAACACATATGTTGGTAAGAGTGAGACTGCCCATGTGTTTAGCATTTTTTAAATGAAATGATCAACAGGTGGAATTTTGAAATATATTCTTCTACAAATGAGATGTCTTTCCCTTTTATATTTTGATGATTGCTTTCTTATATGAAGATTAATATATATTCTTGCTCTTCTATAAGATTATTTAAATTATGTTTCCTCTGATTTTTTTTTTCACCATTGTATTTACTAAGTTATCAGATTTACAAGAAACCTGGCACTTTAGGGTGTTCTTTTTCTCACAGAGTATATTTAATAAAAATGCTGTGTATTTAAAAAATAAAAAGAAAATACCTCCTTCCTCATTTATTTATCTTATTTTCTCTTTTTCTTCTTCTTATTTTTGTAGAGATGGGGGTTTCGCTGTGTTACCTAGGCTGGTCTTGAACTCCTGGACTCAAGCGATCCCCCCCACCTTGCTCTCCGAAAGTGCTGGGATTACAGGCGTGAGCTGCAGTGCCTGGCCTCGTATTTATTTCTATTGAAAACTTTTCTTTAATAAGCGTTTGTTTCTTTAAGTTCCTAGAGGAATATGTGCTAATTGAAAAATTAGAAAGTACATTTAAAGGAAAAGAAAATAGGCACCACTCATCATTCATAATCTCACTGACTTTAACGACTGTTGGAAGTTATAGGCCTAACTTTTTATGTGCATATTTATATCTATTGTTTTTTAGTTTCGTTAATTCCTACTCAGATTTTAGAAGCCTTTCTACTTCTCCCCTGCATCTCCAATGCACTGATCCTACCTCCTTTCCCTAGCCCCTTAGCTAGGCCTTCCTCTCCTTCCTTCGTAAACTCCATAGTTGGTCTTTATACTCACTCACTTGTATACACACTTTAATTACCAATTTGTGTGTGTCTATGTGTATATATACATATATCTATGTGTGCGTAGACATAATACACACATATCTTTATACTGACTTTACACCTTTAACTTTGTTGCTGTTTTCTGGCTTTGGTTAAAGACAATCCTGGTTAAATAAAAACCTCTGCCTACTCTGCACCAGAACCCCTGCGGTCCAGCTGAATGTGGCTGAAACAATATAAACACACTGACAAATCTAACTTTAAAGAAGAAGCCACGGCCGGGCGCGGTGGCTCACCCTGTAATCCGAGCACTTTGGGAGGCCGAGGCGGGTGGATCACGAGGTCAAGAGATCAAGACCATCCTGGTCAACATAGTGAAACCCCGTCTCTACTAACACTACAAAAAATTAGCTGGGCGTGGTGGCGCGTGCCTGTAATCCCAGCTACTCAGGAGGCTGAGGCAGGAGAATTGCCTGAACCCAGGAGGCGGAGGTTGCGGTGAGCCAAGATCACGCCATTGCACTCCAGCCTGGGTAACAAGAGCGAAACTCCGTCTCAAAAAAACAAACAAAAAAAGAAGCCACAGATTCCTAGTGTTCTTCCAGATCATTTATTTGTATTTCTTAACACTGACTGTTTGGATTTGACTAATATTTGGATATGACTGATGTTTCATCGTGATTAAGTTTATATTATTTATGCCTTAGGAATACCACAAAAGTGATGCAGAATTCTTGTCATTGTACCCTATCAGGAGACTGCTCTTGTCCATTGTCCCATTCTGGCTCTGTCAACTTTGACTGCTTGATCAAGGTTAGTGCCTCTCAGATTTCTCCACTCTACAATTACTATCTTACCCTTTGTAACTAATAAGTGCCTTGTAGGGAGATACTTTGAGATGACATAAATATTCTGTGACTCTTTAAATTTTTACACATTAGTTTTAGTATCCATGTTGTTTCTTGTTTGAATCTATTATTAGGATGGCTGTTCAATGGTGATTTTTCTGATTCCATCATTGGAGAATAATTCCCTCATTCCTTCTTCATTTATTAGTTGGAATTATGCTGAAATGAGGAGCTTTCCCTCCTCCACCTCATATTTCTTCATTTCCTTTCTTATATCACTGTGAATTCATAGGCTTTTTATTAGGTTATAATCCTTTAACCATCTTTTTTTGGGGAATGGGGAGGATGATAAACTTGTTCCAGTTATTGGCCTGTAGGGGTCCCTTAAAGCTGTTTCTGGTCCTTTTGTCATGTCCCATCATTCTTTGAAAACTTCCTCACTTTTTGACATGTTAAGAAGTTCCAGGCTCACTTTATGTTTTCCCTGTTCCAACCATGGAATTAGCTGTTTCTCTAAGGAGTCTTTTCTCTAATGGAGAAATGTATTAATAAACCAACGTTTAATCATTGATCCTGGGAGTATCATTGATTTTAGGTCTTTTCAATGGATAGAGCTAGAAAATAGATGTATGCATATGCAGACATATGCATACATGTGTGTATTCATAAATGCACTTACATATGCCTGCAAACGCATCTCTATCCATTTCTATAGTTATCTATGTATATTAATACCCACAAGTTCCCAGTGAGACCTCTGATTTCAGTCTAACACCCTTGTTTTCATTCTGTCATTTGCTCTCACTTTCCTATATTTGTAGCTTTTTTCTATTGACAGATTCCTGGCTCCCATTATCTACATTATATTTATTATTTCATCAGTCACAGAATTCACAGGGAGTAGTTTCAGAATTGCTGACCCATGCTTCTGCAAAATAAAATCCTAATAATGTTTTATACAGTTTTTAATTACATGAATATAGGTCCTTTCACGTGGACATAGTTATAAGTGTATGTACATTGATTGTAATATTGTGCACGAATCTAATTTTGACACATCTCATTTTGACTCCTGCTGGCAAATCATGATAGAGCCCTGAAGATTGTGTTCACAATGATTTGAAACCATCAGCGAGCACTGGGATAAATGGGGCTGTGGTGGAGTGATATTAGCAAGATGGCAGGCTAGGAAATTTTAGACTCTCTTTGCTCCATGGAAACATCAAAAACAAAACCAAACCAGATACACGTTAAAATAACTTTATAGGACCTCTCGAATATAATTAAAATCTACAGCAATCAAGCACAATGTCCATTTTTTTGAAAGACACATTTAAAATGGTAGAAAATCTTGTGTTTTTCACTTACTCCTGGCCCAGAACCTCTCTTCTGTTGCATGATACATCATAGTCTGAAGGAAGTAGCAGCCACTGTCCAGTTTGCTCCATTAAAATGGAGGGAGCATAAGATACTTTATTTGCAGCATACTAACCTGTCTGGGGCTACCTGAGGGACTGGTCTCTGCTTTGTTTGACTTGGAATTCAGGTGGAGAAAACTGTCATGTTTTCTCAGGTCTCAGGCTACAGTGGTATTACAGACCCAGAGCTGCCTTGGGAAGAGATTACATGTGAAGAATTAACATAGAACATCTAAAGCCCTGAATTGAAATTGGGGTGACACTGTAGGAAATTAGGACATTTAGAAGTAGCTACATATGTAGGGCAACACACACACACGCACGCACGATGAATGCTCAGACAAAACCTGAGGCATCTGTAAACCTTTATTCTGAGCTGATCATAACACTCAGAATAGGCCCTGCTAGTAAAGGTCTTCACTGGCACACAACCAGTCTGCAAAACTAGAACAGGTGGACATTTTTTCAAATGCCCAGTTTTCACCAAAAAATCATAAGGCATACAAAAAAAATACGGCCCACTTACAGGAAGAAAATAAAATGGCAGAAATAATCTCTGAACAAACACAGGCTTCAGGTATAGTAGTATAAAGAAATAGACAAAACATTTTTTAAAACTGTCTTAAGCTCAAAAAGCTAAAGGAAAACACAAAGAACTAAAGGAAATCAAGAAAATGATATGTGAATGAAATGAGAATATCAACAAAAAGAAATTGTAAAAAGGAACCAAAAGGATTTTGGAGCTGAAAAAATACAGTAACCGAATTGACAATTTACCAGAAGAATTCAGCAGTAGATTACAACAGGCAGAAGAAAGAATCAGTGAACTTGAAGACATGACATTTGAAGTTATTATCTAAGGAGAATGAATTTTAAAAGTGAACAGAGTTTAAAGGACTATGGGACACCTTCAAGTGGATCATGTGGTCCACTTTTTGGGAGTTCCAGAGGGAGAAGAGAGAGAGAGATTATTTGAAAAAATAATTACAAAAATCTTCCCAAATTTTAGGAAAGACATGGATCTATAAATCAAAGAAACTCAAAGAACTCCAAGTAGGATAAAGCAAAAGAAACCTACACAGAAGCACATTATAATCAAACTGTCAAAAGGGAATGACAAAGAGAGACTCTTGAAAGCAGTAAGAGTAAAGTGGCTTGTAATGTATAAGGGATTCACAATAGGATTATCAGTGAAATTCTCAGCAGAAACCTTGGAGGGTGACATGATATATTTAAATAGGAAAAAATATCCTGCCACTTAAGAATCCTACCTATGGCAAAATGGTCTCTAAAAACTGACGGAGGGGCAGTGTTGCCTGGTATGTCCTGAAAACCTTCGTTGCTGCCGCTGCTGTCACCATGGCTCGGGTCCAGACTGCACTACAGCCTCTCGGGAGACATGGGCTCTTGGAACCTCTGTAGTGCTGGACTCTGGGCTGCAGGCAACCCCGTGGCAGCAGGATAACAGAACCTCTAGATGGACTCTTCCTGGGAAGCTTTGCCAATTTGCAGCAGCTGGACCATGTTCCTCATTAACATCTGTGTCAGCTTAATCATCACCTCATTTCACTATACTCTTAAGGCGAGTGGGCCGCTGGCAAGATGTCCCTGCCCATCGGGATATACCACCAGGCATTCAGCTGTAATGATGCCCTTGAGGACCCTGTGCCCATGATTCCTCAGCCATTAGTTGTGGGCTGCATAACCTGGAAGCCAGTGATTCCAGAGCACGAGTATCAGCACTTCGCCAAGGTGGAGGAAGGAGAGGCCAGTCTACTTTCCCCTGCCATGACCCTGTCATCGGCCAGTGACAGTGTGGACAAGGTCCCAGTGGTGAATACCAAAGCTACCCATGTCATCGTGAATTCTCTGATCACAAAACAGACCCCAGAAGGAATTCAGCATTTTGGGCGACAGGCAGGGCTGAGAGATGCTGGCTACACACCCCACAAGGGCCTCACCACTGAGGAGACCAAATATCTTCGAGTGGCAAACTAAAACTACAGGACGGAGAGAGAACAAAGAAGAGACGCAGCCTGCCTCAACCCAGTCTACCCCAAGCACCACTCCTCACTCTTTCCCTAAACAGAGGCCCAGAGGTTGGTTTACTTCTGGTTCTTCCATAGCCTTATCCGGCCCAAATCCTAGCACCATGGATGCTCGAAGTGGGGATAAGGACAGAAACTTGTCAGATAACTGGAGCCTCTTTGGACCGAGATCCCTTCAGAAGTATGATTCCAGAAGTTTTGCATCCAGACCTACTGAGGAGCCCAGAAGCCCAATGGAACTGATCCGTGCCCAGGCCAACCAAATAGCTGAAGATCTAGCAGCCTTGAAGCTGCCCAAGATGGACATCCCAGTGATGGAAGGGAAGAAACAGCCACCATGGACCCATAATCTCAAACCCCGTGACTTGAATGTGCTCACATCCACTGGCTTCTAGAGCTATTTCTTTCCAGGGATTCTGGTAAAGAGGGCTTCTTGTACCCACTCTCCTTTTGCCTTGGCTCTGACGTAGGAAAGGTATTTTTAAAAACTGTTAATTGGCTGGGCGCAGTGGCTCATTCCTGTAATCCCAGCACTTTGGGAGGCCAAGGCAGGTGGATCACCTAAGGTCAGCAATTCGAAACCAGCCTGACCAATATGGCGAAACCCCATCTCTACTAAAAATACAAAAATTAGATGGGCATGGTGGCTGGTACCTGTAGTCCCAGATACTCAGGAGGCTGAGACAGGAGAATTGCTCAAACCTGGGAGGCGGAGGTTGCAGGGAGCCAAGATCGCGCCACTGCACTCCAGCCTGGGCAACAAAACCAGACTAAAAATAAAGAGATAAATAAAATTAAAAACCTGTTAAATTGAGGCTAGAGCTGGAGACCTAGTTGGTTTTTGAGAAACATTAGTACAAAGCTTTCCCTTGTTGTGTAGAAGAAGCCATTTTGTACTGCTTTAAACTTAGACTAAATATTCTCAGCAGTGGTGTATGGGGATCTCATTACCTGTCTTTTCATACTGTACCCTAGCTAAGAACTTCAATCACTGCTTACTAGGTAAAGAATGTTTGCACTCTTCCAAAACCCAGGCTTCTTGATTCCTTTACCACTATGTGAGCATTGACAAATCATGGTGTAGAAGTACTCACTGACTCACTGAGATGACTCTGGCCCTGTTGATGGCTGGTGCCATGCTCCAGCCTTGTCAGTTAGGGGACCCAAGATCTGTTTGGGACCTGGGTACAGAAAAAAGCCAGATTTGGCAGGGACCCCTCTTTCTAGGCTGAGTCCGCCTGCATTTTAGCAGATCTAATGGATCATTGTCCTGCAGCCAGTTCTTCATGTGGGGCCTGTTAGGCCAGTGCTGGGGGAGGCATGCTCCTCTTTCTATGCCACAGAACAAACGCTAGTCTAGCAGAGCCTTTCTTGCACTTTAAAGTCAGGTTAATTCCAATTTGGTTAAAACCTTCCTAAGAGAGAAAATTCAGCCTACTGACTTAGTATAGGTAAATGGACATTAAAGTTTTTTAAAGTAAGGAAGATATTAAGTACAGTTATAGTCTTGAGGCCTGTGGTGTTACCTTATTTTGATTTCCTTGTTCAGATCAGGGCCTGGAACATCTGCGGGGGGAGGTAAAAGAATTAAAAATTTTCTGTATGAAAGCATTTTTCACGAAAATGAGCCTCATCCCTTTATGCAACACATAACCTTACTGAGGAAAGGAAATAAGGAAACTGCCTTTTTATTTCTCCTCACTGTGAACAGGTTCAGTCATATTCTTGAACACTGTCTGAAATACCCATGTTCTGTTTTGGCTAGTATCTTGTCTGCATAAGAAGCTGACCTTTCCATACAGAGGTCCTGGGGTCTAAATTATGAGAACAATTAATGCGTCTTCTATTATGACCTCTCATTTTGACAATAAAAATCCATACTACTTTCTCAAAAAAGAAAAAAACTGAGGGAGAAATTAAGACATTTTCAAATAAAGAAATCTGAAGACAAAAACTGTCCTATAAGAAATGTTAGTGGGAGTCTTTCAAGTTGAAATAAATGGATGCTAGACAGTAACTTGAAGTGATATGAAAAATTTAAAGATCTCCAGTAAAGGTAAATATATGAACAAAATTGGAATTTTGTTTGTTTACTTATAATTTCCATAAAATTTAAAAGACAAATACATAAAAATATAAATCTATGTTAATGGGTACATAGTGTATATATTATATATAAAGATGTAATTTGTGACATTAATGACACAAAATGGAGTAGTGGAGATCCATAAAGAAGCAGAATTTTTACATGCAGTTGATGTTAAGCTGTGACACTATAAAATTACTTGTTATAATTTTAGGTTATATGTAAACCCATGCCAACTACAAAGAAAATATCTATAGAATATACACAAAAGGAAATTAGATGGGAATAAAAATCAACTAAACACAAAGGAAGGCAGTAATGGAGCAGATGAGAGACAAAAAGCTATAAGGCATACAGAAAATGAATATCAAGTGGCAAGAGCAAGTCCTTCCCTATCAGTACTTTAAATGTAGTGAAATAAACTCCGCAATAGAAAGATACTGATTGCCAGGATGGGTGAAGAAATAAGGTCCAACTGTCTGCTGTTTACAAAAGGATAACTTGTATCTAAGAACACACATATATTGAAAGTAAAAAGATGAAAAAATGATACAGTAGTCTCCCCTTATTTGCACAAGATGGTTCAAGACCTGCAGTAGATGTGTATATATATATATATATATACACATCTAAAAATGTGTATATATATATATATATATATATACACATTTAAAACACCACATATTATATATGTGTGGTGTTTTAAAATTCTCATGGCTGAGATGGCTAGTAAGTGACCAACAGGTGAGTAGTATATACAACTTGGATATACTATAGCTTTATAGTAAGTCTTGAAGCCGAGTAATGTCACTTTTCTGATTTTGTTCTTCTCCTTCAATATTGTGTAGGCTATTATGGGTCTTTTGCCTCTCCACATAAAGAAATAGTTGTTGATATCCACAAAATAACTTGCTGGGATTTTGATTGGGATTGAATTGAGTATATAGATCAAGTTGGGAAGAACAGACATTGTGACAATATTTATTCTTCCTGTTTACAAACATGGAATATCTTTCCATTTATTTATTTCTTCTCTGATATATTTCATCAAGGTTTTATGGTTTTCCTCATATAGATTGTGTCCATATATTGCTATATTTATACCTAAGTATTTCATTTTTAATGCTAATGTAAATGCTATTGTGTTTTAAATTTCTAGTTCCACATGTTCATAGCAGGGCCTGCTGATTTCTGTTTTAGAAGGTTATTGGTTACTAATTCAATTTCTTTAGTAGGTATATAAATATTCAAATTGCTTATTTCTTCTTTTGTAATAACTTACAATTGGATGCCAGACATTGTAAATGTTACCTTGTATGCTGAATATGTTTGTGCTTCCTTTATTGTATATATATTTTCAGACAGGATCTCACTCTGTTGCCCTGGCTGGAGTGCAGCGGCATGATCATAGCTGACTGCATCCTCAAACTCCTGGGCTCAAGTGATCCTCCTGCCTCAGTCTACCAAGAAGCTAGGACCACAAGTGCATGCTAGGACCACAAGTGCATGCCGCCATGCCCAGCTAATTAAAAAAAATTTTTTTTTAAGAGATGAAATCTTGCTCTGTTGCCCAGCCCTGTTCTCAAAGTCCTGGCCTCAAACAATCCTCCTGCCTCAGCCTCCAAAATTTCTGGGATCATAGGCATGAACCACCATGTCTGGCCCATTAATATTTTTGAGATTTGTTCTGGAATACAGTTCAGTTACTTGAAAACATTTTGATCCATTAGGGTCTTTCTACTAAAGTTTGTCAGGCAAGAACAGAGCAGCATTTGGCATAGGCTAAATTTCCCCCACTCCTGAGGCACAATCTGTCTGAGTGCTTTCCTTAATGCTGCACAAATTATGAAACTGTCTACCTTCACTGGCCAGAACGGGAACCATTTTTAGCCCCGTGTAATGCATGCATGCAGCTTTCTCTTGTCTCTTACTGTGCTCTGAAATTCTAGCCATTTTGACCTCTCCAGACCCACAGCCCATCTCCCCAGGAAATTTTCAAAATAAGCTTTATTTTAGAATAGTTCTAGACTTATCAAAATATTCTAAAAATTTTCTAAAAATATTCTAAAATATTTCTAAAATATTCTAAAAATATTCTAGTACAGAGTATTCCTATGTGCCACACCTCATTTACCCTATTTATGTCTCACACTAGTATGGTGTGTTTGTCACAATTAATGAACCAATATTAATACATTGTTACTAATTAAAGGTCATACTTTATTCATGTTCCTTTACTTTTAAAATTTAATAGCCTTTTCTAGTGTCCCGGGATCCCATCCAGGATATTATATTATATTTAGTCATCCTGTCTCCTTAAGATTCTCTTGACTGATAGTTTCTCATATTTTACGTGGCTTTTCATGACCTTAACTGAATGTAATACATGATCTAGAATTATTTTTTTAGTAATAGAGGGTATTATTTGAATAAGAGACAAAATTTGACTAAGGTCTGTCGATTAGGTAATAGCACTAAATCAATGTTAATCCCCGCTTTCATAATTTTACTGTGGTTTTATAGGAGAATGTCTTCGTTATTAGAAAATGCAAAAGGAAGATTCTGACGTGAAGGAGAATAATGTTTGCAACTCACCCTCAAAAGCTCAGAAAAAAGTGATGTGTGTGTGAATGTGTGTAAATGCAATAGTCAGGGAGTTGAAGCAGATGTAAAATGTTAACATTTGGGGAATCTGTGTGAAGGAAGTATGGGAATTTTTTAATGTTCTTGTAAATTTAAGACTGAAGTTATGTCAAAATACAAATTTAAAAGAAAAATGCACAGTTAAATATATTACAAACAAAATCAACAGATAAATGACAGATTCTTAAGAAATATGTATAAGGCACATGACAAACGGATTATTTCCTAAATATATGAGATCAACAAAGAAAAGATAGAACAGTAAAACAGTATGAAAAGAAAACTAGCAGGCAACTCACCATAAACCAAAAATGGCTTCTAAAGCACTCACATACAAAACTCTCCCACACTCATATTAAAATATAGTTAAATATATGTATAATTAGCCTTTTCAGTTATTCAGCTGCCAGAAAAATAATAGTGCTTTAATGTCTTTGATGTGTAAAATTAAAATTTCACAATGCAAAAATCCCAGCTATAAATACTGTATACTTTGATATGTAAGAATACTAGCTAAAAATAAACGGCGATCAGTAAGGGCTTGGGTAAATGATGGCACATCCGTTATTAATTCATGTGGTATATCTACAAATAACACTAAGTGACACAGATTTATTTGTACTAATATAGACTAGTCACCAAGGTATGCTAGGTGAAAAAACAAAGATGTAAGTGTATAAATATATATCTATACAACTTCCCATGCCTATTTTCTGCTTATATTTTGAAAGGTTATAATTGGCAGAAGAATGTGGGAACTGTCAGATAGTGGTGATAGAAAGATAGCATTTACTGTATATTTCTTTGTAATGCTTTCAATATTTTAAGCAATCATA